TTCTCTTACAAACGAGGGTAAATAAAATGCCGAAGTACCTGATTCTTCTAACGGATGTACTCTTCACAGCGAAGGCAATATCCAGAAAGCGAAGGCTCTCCAGAAAAAAATAAAATAAAAAAGTGTGTTGCTTTTTATGGTATTTGCATCTTGTTTTCTAAATTCAAACGACTCTTTTCTCTCTCCCCCTCACTCTCTAATTTACACCCCTCCCCTCCCTTCCCTCTTCCGCGCCACGCCGCCGCCGATCAACAAGACAAGGCCGTAGCGCTCTTCTCGTGACGTCGCAAAGGAAGGCCATCGGGGGCGCGCGTCGAAGCGAAGGCAACGCGCGTGGATCGACCGTCGTAACGCGTTTTTAGTCACATACGCGTGTCATATTAGCTAAAATGAAAGCTTCACATAGCAACGGGTATAGAAAACATTTTATTACACGAGCAAAATATTACACCGCTAAATAATCGGTACGAAATGGCACGACGTATGCGTATAAGCACATGACGTCATTTCCGATACCCTCCAGAGAAGAGGGGGAGAAGGAGCTCCCCTCTTATCAGGACCCTCCTTTGTGCCTTCCGGATTTGCGCAGGCGTCGCTATTCTCCTCCCAGAAGATTATAGAAGATTAACCCGTCACTCAAAATTCTTACAAAAGCAGCTTCCCTCTCCTCCTTTTACTTGGTGTGCAAATGTGTGCGATGTGACGTCAATGCAAGGAGCCTATAGACCGACACGCGGAGCGGCTCTGTTTACCAACACGGCCGGAAGGCCGCGCATGCGCGGTAGCTATGTGGGCAAAAGCAGCCCGGCTCTCCGTGTTTTCGCCATTGCGCTCTATGGCGTGCGCTCGTTGTTGACGTTGTGGGGACGCTTGTATCTTTATTTGTGCGTCGCATTTCCTCACAACGTATGTCGTATGCTATGCCCGACTATTTGAGCTCGTTGCCCGAGCCTGAACGGTAGCGATATCGAAACAAACTGTGCGTGGACGGCGTTGCCTGCGAGGATCCGTACGCCGTAAACAAGGCCTGCTGGACTTCCGACGTAAAGTTGCTGCCTCGGAAGACGACGGCTCAGGTCGTCGTTTATTTAGTTTTTTCGCCAAGACAGTTCACGGCCGACACGGTGCAGGCGTACAAGTCCCTCGAGGTCTACGATTACATCGAGTCGGTTTCCGCACTGCCGGCGGGATCAGCGATCAGTAGACTGTGGGTCTGCGGAAGTGTGTGTATTCATTCATTGATTAAATACACAGAGCGTCTTCAGGTCAAGGTATGATATTTTTCCTACCCTCATGACTACAAGGCATTACAAGCAGTAAAGGTTTGTCCGTTCTTCAGTCTTGGCGGTAACAGGTTACAAGTAACGGCGTTACCAGGAACGCGTTACTTTTTTCAGTAACGTACGTAGTAACCTACTCGTTGCGTTTTCGACACAGTAACGGGTAACGTTCTATGTTACTATTTCAAGTAACGCAGTTACGTTAGCCGTTACTACTTCCCAAGTCTCAAAGAAATTACACTTCAATTGTTTCCGTGTTTTAGGCGTCAAGCCATGTTTTTCTTTGCGTTTTTTTCGTAAGTGTTTAGGTGAAACCGTAAAAAGAGATAAAGTAATTATGTTCAGTTTCTGCATGAACATAATGTTTCTTGATATATGACCTGCATCGTCAAAACCGTAAAATGTGTTAAATCATAATTTAAAGTAACGCAGAAGTAACGTGCGTTACTTTTTATCGATAGCGGTAACGCATTCCTTTTATTTTTAGATAACGTAGCTCAGCAACGCGTACCTTTTATTTGCAAGTAACGAGTAACGTATTTCGTTACTTTTTTTTCGGCAACGCCTACAACACTGCCGTTCTGTCGCCGACCCCCTTCTGCTCGGTAGCACGGGCGTAGCGAGCCTCTGACGAGCGCTTGGCCGGTGTGTTGAGCGCGAACACCGTGGGAACAAAATCCGGGTGGTCTCGATCACAGCGGCTTCCCTGCACATAAGGAAGACTCGGGACGGAGACTGAAATGGAAGCCGCACTTGCCTCCAAGATAGTGTTTGCCGCACAAACGGTCGTTCGCGCGAGGCAACCATTCTTTTCGATCCATGGATATTATCCACCTTCTATGCCTTTCAGAGTTCGCTGGGAACTTGTGGAAATTCATTCCACTAATTTTTCTGTACCTTTCGGTGCAATTAACGGCAACACAGCTTCGCGGCATGCTGAAATGCTTTGACGCCCATGCGAAACGTGCGCGCTTTTGCCCACACCCCCGGCTCCGGCGCGATCGCAGCGCCGCCGCAGCTCCGTGACGTCAAGCCCGCGTGTCGGTCTATAGAAAGATGATTATTTTAAGTCGAAAACATTGAGTCATGCAATTATTGTTGTAGGAATGCATATTTTATACAGAAACACTTCGACAAAATGGCGAGACACGCAGTGATTTGGAAACAGCAAAACAGAACAGTTAAAAATCATTTAGACGTAGTCAACGCGGACAAGGCAAGGCAAGTGTTTCTCACGATCATGTAAGCGACGTTATCGCGTGAAGTCACTGAATTCTTGCATCATACCCCGGCCACATGGCAAAATTAATGCAATTTCGATTGAATGACATTATGGGGTCGACAAATCCGCTTGCGGCGCTCGTATAATCACTCAAGACCGCGAGCTCATTAAATCCTATATAACTGAATGAAAATATATTAACTTTTCCGTGTGGCAGCGGTACTAAACGTGCTACTTAGTCTACAAATTTACCTCTCCCTATGGGCTCGAGCTGTCTTAGAACAAAACATAACTTATTTTGTATATAATAATACTATTACCTTAACAGTTAAGATTCTAGTATAAACGCGGTAAAGGTAATACAATAACCTTAGTATAAATAAACACAGAACCACAAACAACGCACTTTCAATAATCACAAACTTGTTTTTCACCTTCCAGTGAAAGCTAGATTACCGCGCATATTTACAAAGAGTAATGCTATATGCACTGCGGAGTGCAGCTCGGCCGGAAATTGCTATATGCACTACGTTTGTCTCGTATAAAATGAATGATCACAACGAGTTTTTCCAACCGGTGGCATAGCGTAGGGGTTAGCGTGTCTGCTTCGTACGCAAGTGGACGCAGGTTCGAATCGTGGTGATCGTACCTTTTTTTTTTTTCTTTTTTTCTTGAACGTTGTTTTGACGAGGCATTTGGCGATATTCATATTTCTTTTTTGCGATGAACACTAAAAAAAAAAAAAAAGAAAAAAACACCGAATGTTGTCGACGAAACTTCGCAGACTTCGCAGATCCGGGACAGTGGGGCTTGGGTTGCCGGCTGGACGCCGCGAAGCGGCGTGTACTGGTTAACTTTTCTAATTAGCAGCCGCATACTGTCGCCGCGAAGCGGCGTGAACGCAGGCGGGGGGCTGGGTTAAAGGCCGTGGACCAGACTGGAGATTCTGCAAGGCAGAAGATCCTCCTCACCATGGGGGAGGAGGAAACAGGCAACGGTGGACAGTTTAGAAGGGGGGAAAGGAGGAAGCCAGGGAAAAGTGGAAAGCGCGAACTGGTCGTCGGCCTTTAACGAGCTCCCCAGTGATACACGCGCAGTTCGAAAAAGGGTGGCCCGAGCGGCATGAGCTCTCAGCGTAGTGCATATAGCAATTTCCGTCCAAAGTGCACTACATAGTGCATATAGCATCGCTCATTTACAAATGTCGACGCAACTGCATACGAATTAATGTGGCGATGCAGGCGAGTTGGTTATGCATGTTGAAAGTAGTGAAAGCGCACAATAAAGACAAATACGAAGACGGAGAGGCAAACAGGACGAGCGCTGTGCTCGTCCTGTTTGCCTCTCCGTCTTCGTCTTTATTGTGCGCTTTCACTACTTTCAACATGCATACGAATAACGACAAATAACAAAATTGCAATCTATCATGCGATTAAAAAAACGAGTGCAGCATTTTACTTGCGTCCTACGCGACCAAAAAAGCCCGTAAACAAGTTGTTTCTCACCTTTCAATCGTATCCATACGTCCCACAATATCCCTGACGAACACATTTGAACACGAACTCCAATCCTCTCTCTGCCGAGAGAGGTCTATCGATTAATCGACCAGAGTCTTCGTTGGCTAGTTGTCACACGTCACTCAAATCGTAGCAGGACTTGTTTCACGAATCCACGTAAATGCCGTAGTACCCAAGCGAACACAAAAAAAAACTACCCGAGACTACGGTGATGACAGAAATACGACGGGAAGCAAGTCTCAAGAGTACCACACACGAGAGCAGCGGCGACGAAAGGCTTAACGTTGTCGACCCATCTCTTGCTGGTGTGCGCTCCCTGCGACAATGACTGGATTCCTTTTCGGTTTCCTTCCCTTCTGAGATGTCTCAGCGTTCCTTTTCAGACAGTCAGCAGCTCACACACAACGTAAATTTACCAGAATCGGAGCCATGTGCCATGTGGCATCGGCAGCATCGCAGCCGGTCCTTTCGAAAAGTGTGGGGTGCTGCGGAACTGCACGTAGTCCCGCGGTTACGGGGATATTCATAAATATAAATTTGGTATTCTCAACCTTGGAAGCGCGTTGTATATTACGTTTATATTATATATATAATAAATTGTACAAGACTGCGCCTTTAAAACGTAAATTAACGTCGGATAAACGCGCATGAACGAACACCACCGCGCCGCTTTTCAACGATCATTGTTTTCACGTCGATAGCGTATTCTCACGTAGTTGCGCCATGGACTTCCTTGCTCCGCCATTGTGACGTAAGCTCTCAGAGCGCTATGGCCTTGTCTTCTAGGAGGTGTTGCGCCGATCCGTTGATCCCCGCGCCGTCAACACGCCGCCGCCGGAGGTACAAACACCGGCGCGCCGCCGCCGGCGATTTCTGACCGGCGCACAGGTCTACCATAAAGTCGAACCGGTCGATTCTGGTGAAAAGTTCGAAGGTTCGTCGAACCGGTTCGACTCAGTCGAACCCCGGAAGTTCGACCAAAAAATCTGGTTCGACAAAAGTTCGCGACACCCCTAGTCACAACAAGCTGCGTGGTGAGACAAGTGAGTGATTTGCACGCAAGATTCCAAACTCGACATAATCGAAGACGTCAACGAACCGATGTCCTCTGGCCGATCTGCTTGGAGAATTTCTAGGCATGACTGAACGGGTGTTCGAAAACCACTTCTCCGACCACGACGGCAGCTCGGACGTCGTTCTGCCGGACGGAGAGGTGCGTCCACATTTCTGCATTCCCGTCAAGCTAGGGTAACCAGACGTCCCGTTTATGGGCAGGACAGTCCCGTTTTAAAACAATGAAACAGTGTGGAAAGCTAACGACGAAAGTCACTTGTCCGACTCCGGAACAATGTGCCCATAGTTCACTTTTGTACCCCCCCCCCCCCCCCCCCCCCCTCTTATAAAGGCCGACGTACAACCTCGGTTTCTTGCAGGGAAAATAATCATCTTATCTTTCCCCTTTTCTAAGCTGCGAGGGAAGCTAAGTTGGGGCAAGGTAAAAAGTGGAGAGGATATAGTAAAGGAGGAGGCGAGCAAAACTGGAAAGCGCGAAGTGTGTATCGGCCTTTAAACCAGAGCCTCCCGTTTTTTACCCTGAGGAATATGGTCACCTGACTTCAAGCGCGCTGCCAAAACGCCGGAAACCGAAACTATCGCGGCCGATTTGTTTCAGTTCACGAACAAGTTGGAGCGGGAGAGGCGCGTCCTGGAGCTGGCGGGAGTGCTGGAGAAGGACCTTGTCAAGCACACCAACTGGAATGACGTTTCGGTGTACACCGGCACCACAGGTGTGAATTAAGGCTTATCGAGCATTAGTTCGCAGTTTCTTGTATTAGGAGCAGATGCAGGTGCTCTCAGAGTGAGGGAGGGATAAGGGGAACAGAGAGGGAGGAGGGGTTAGCGTATCAGGCGTATGGGAAAACACGGCTTTTCGCCAAAAGTTTTGGCAGATTTATTTATTTGAAGTTACCCCGCATCACCAGAGGCATAGCAAGGGGGGTACATTTTTGCGAAAACAGAAGTACACTTCACATGTATCAAAACAGAAGAAAGACCACAAGCACTCAGTTAAAAACTGTGGACACATGCGGAATTCAAGGGAGGAGGAGGAGGAGAAATCGCGCCCCTCCCCACTTCCCTCTAAATCCACCCCTGTTACTACAAATGCCATTCCGAAAATCAGTTTGAGCGAGTTGTTGGTGTCGTGCGCATACCTAATGCATGGGTGCCAGTCTTTCTGCAACACTGGTACACCCTGCACGTTCCTAGCCACCCAAAGTGCAAAAAATATCAATATTGCACATTAAATCAAAAGGCCGGATTGACCGTTCCAATCAATGGCAGTACGTGAAAAAAAAAAGGAGTTTTGAAAGATGACGGTTCTTGACATCGGGAGTCTTACATCGAGATTATGGCCAGTACGATGATGGCGGCATTCTCGAGGATTGATGTACTTTAGTCTGAGACACGGGCTGGAGAAAAATTTGTGAAGAAGAGATAGCCTTGCAAGTTTGCAACATTGGGAGAGGAGTGGGAGCCTGACAGGGGTTCGAAGAGATGTGATGGTTGTAAAAGAAGAACAATCCGGATAAATAAAATTAAACACTCGATGCTGAGCCGTTTTAATGTTATTTATGAGGTAGGCTTGATGGAGGTACCAGATGGCAGATCCGTATTCAAGTCTTGGGTGGATAAAGGATGAGTAAGCAAGCATTTTTAAATGAGGAGTGGTCATTTTCAAGTTGCGCTTCAAATCACCTAAAGAGCAACTAACAGGGGAGATGTATGACTGATATGAGTGACTCAGAAAAAATCAAATGAAAGCAAGATATTTATAAAATTAATGTTTTACAAGGGAACGCTGTTCAGTGAATAGAAGAAATTTGAAGGTTTAGAGCCACAAGTAAAGGACACAGTCTTGCACTTTTGGACGTTGAGGGACATCTGCCATGTTTCACACCGTGCTAGGATGTGGATGAGGTCATCTTGGATGAGCAGGTGATCTGATGGATTAGTCGCTTATGATATGCTCCATTACTTTGCACGAGCCAATTGTTAGGGAGATGGGACGATAGTTCCAAGGGGAGTACTTGTTGCCATTCTTCGAAATTGGGACAATCTTCCTCACCTTAAAGTCCGACCTACAGAATCGTCTTCTACCGGGGAGAAAACCGGTTCCCAGTTTCATTCCCTCCATTTCCACTCGCCCACGTTTCCCCTCCTCTCCATACAGGAGCGGATCTCTGAACTACTCCCGGTAGAGAGGAGGAGGGTCTCCCTCTTTCTCAAATGGAACAAAGGAATTGAGGGAAAGTTTGCTTCTTTCTGCTTGTTGGTCGGCCTTTAAGGCCCGTTCACACATTTGCGACTTCTTAAGACCGAGTGCCTTGGAACCTCTTAAAGGGGCCCTGCAGTCCAATTTACACGTCTACCTTTTTTTCAGTTTCCACGTCTCTTGTAATTCGGGCAACGCTGCGGGCACAGAATGAGTAACTAAATATCAGTGCATCAAATTTTATCCGGACGACTCGGAAACCTTTTCCCACTTTGGAAGAGCTGCCCAAGGGTGTCGAACGCGCGGAGCATGGGACGAAATCGTGACTTTTTGGTCCTTAAAGGGGCAGTGCAACGATTTTCAGACTTTGGCCAATTAACTGCGGAAATTAATCTGCGTCACCTATGAAACGAAAAACTGAAAGCTGCATTTTCTTGCGAGCGCTAGTTCTTATTTAAAAAAAAAATGAAACAAATTGAAGGTCGAAGTGCCTCTCAACTCTCCACGCCGACTTTCAAGTGACGTGCCTGGGGGTTCACGTGGTTTCCCCTTGGGCCCTCTCTTCAGAGACTCCAGCCGCTTCCTCCGCGATTGTCGACTTTCAAAGGATTAGCCTCGTGAAGGTCGCGGCGAGCGATAAACACTAAGGACGGTTCGCCACGGGGCTGACGGCGAGTGTAGCAGAGGAGGGGGACAGGGTTTGTTGACTTCCGCGTATCCCCCAGATATGCCGCCATTTTAGTTCCCGTAGCCACCACCGGCGGCTGCAGATCGGCAAATCATTCGTTTTTTGCCTTGTGATTACGCAACAGAATAGCCTTTTTTTTTTTAAAGTGATGCGTTTTTGGTCACTTGGGCTTGTATGAACATATAAAAAATGCAAACTGGCAATTCTTTCAACATTAAAACCATTGCACTGCTTCTTTAACGTCAGCCGAGGGGAGAAAGCTGTTCTGTTCCCGGGCAGCTCTCTCTCCTCGCAAATACGATATAGGTAGCTCCGCTAATGCTGGAAACTCTCCCGAAAACCTATGGGAGTGGCGGCGAACGTGACAGTGGCGCCTCTAGCGGACTCGGAGTCTACGGAAGCAGGCGATGCAATGGAAAAGTATAGGCTCCACGACGCCCTCAAGCTTTGCGTGCCCCGTTTCGTCACTACGGTCAGTCCGCTTGCAAAGCGGAATCCACTTATCGCAACTACAGCGACAAATAAATAACAACACGTGCAGAAACGAAGATAGAGCAGTTTATTTAGCAGTCTCAAACGCCACTCAATGTATGAAACGCATTTGAAGCGCATCTGGGAAGCAAAAAAAAAAAAAATTGTTTAGCTACTCGATTTTTGTTGTAAGAGGTTACTGTTTATACGTTACAAACTGCATTGTCACCATTTCTTACCTGAATAGCTGGTTATTAAAACTGCTCAAACAACATGTTAAACTTACCAGAGCAAGCACACCAGCCTCTGCGGCATTACAAAAACAAAAGGTAATGAGAAAAATGACCCTGCAAACACTTTCAGAACTTTGCAGAAAAGTTGGAGTCCTTATCCCAGACGAAAATAAAAAAAAATGGGGGAACAGTCGCGAACAACGGCAAATGAAACAAAAAAGTTAGCGGACGATACAAAGATACAAATCGCCTAGCAAAGACCTCCTTCCACGACGACGATCGCACATGGCGTTGGTAGGAGCATTGAAAATTAGCAGGTGGTTCTCGCCGTAGGTGTTGGGGCAGCAACAAACAAAGTGAAAGCAGCGACAAAACTATTAAAAAAGAAAAAAAAGTGAAGCTCTTTTTTCTTCTTTTTTTTTTTTCACTTGCGCGTTATTTGTTTGTTTATTTTCTTTTGCGGGCGGTGTTGTTAGGAACTAAGAACAAAATAGAGGAAAGGAATAGCATAGTTTAGCTCACACTGCATCTGGCCTGTTGTCCATAAAGTTCTCAGCAATCTCCGCGGAGTTGTCATAATCGTCTGTTGAGGTGTCAGTGGCGATTGTGAAGCAGACTTGGATACTCTTGCAGTTCAATTTGAAGTAAATAAATTACTCCCGTTTGTTCGGTCTTCGGGAAGCGGAAGAAGGACTTTCCACCACATCACAGAAACTTGTTTTTGCAGTGGTAAGCAGCACATGACATGCCTGCCATCTCCAAGTATGCGCTGGTGAATGCCCGAAGGCGGCCGGTTGATCAACCAACGATGACCCATTGCAGACATGACCGCGTATACTCAAATAAAATCTGAATAGAAATGTAAAACGAGCTTACACTTTTTAAGATATTTATTAAGTATCAAAAAGTACATATGAAGATTTCGGATCAGAAGCTCAATTGGAGGCGAACATAGGTTATCACAGACGACAGTGGAAAACAAAACAATAACAACAAAGTTGCAGACGGCCCTCCAGATGTCCGGGCATAGCGTAGCAGACGAATCGGTGGTAGTAAGCGACGAAGCGAAGGAAAGAAAGTAAAAACTAAGGCAAAAAAGGGAAAGGAAAATATGCGAACTTCAAGTAAACACAGGAAAGAAAAAAGCTAACAAAAAACATAAACGCAGGAGGAAGAAAGACCGCGGTGGTATGGCATCGCCTCAAGCATAAAAAGAAAGTAGACTTTGAAAAATGGTAGGAGGTGCACAACCATCCAACAAGTGCTTTTTTTTTTCTTTTTTCTTAGTTTCAGTAATAGCGTTAGATTTGCTTGTGCACAGTCGACTTCTTCCAGAGCATACTAACGTTGCAGTAAGGTACGTAGTTCGAAATTGCCTTTTGCTTTTTCATCCGGAGACGATCGGGATTAGCCAGCTCGACTATTGGACGAAACGGTTTTAAGCAATACATTCATGAGAAATTGCAATTGCAACAACAAAACGAATTGATCGATAAGAACAGTAAAGTTGAGAGGTAGCTATGTTCTGAAATTTTTTTACATTGCCCTTTTTCAAAAAACGGCAAAGGTACATTAGTGTTTTGCCTGACTTACGTAAGTTCTGACAGAGTGTTTTCTTCAGGAGAGCCCGAAAATTGCGCCCTACAAGCTGAACATTCAAAACAGTGAATACCCGTGACACTTTTTTTTCTATTGGTCCTCTCGCACGGAGATGGGCAAAACCAATCTGTTGTGGAGAAGACTCCGAGCTCGCCAGGGGCGCTGCGATCACTTTTCGCCCGTGATCCGCGGGAGTTGCCAGTATTGGCTTACATGGTATTTGTCCTCGGCCTCACCTCTTTTCCCCGTCTTCCCCTCCCTCCCCACATTCCTTAGTCACTGCGGCAAGGGGAATCCTCCGGCGAGGGAAAAGGGGGGACAGGGGACCAAGGACGTCATGAAGGAGGTTATTTTGTGCCTGTTTTTGTAATTTTAATATATGTTTATAACTTTTAAAATAAAGCGAATTTCGTGAAAATAAAAAGTTCACTTAAGTTACTACGTTCAGTGCGCTCAGGTTCAGTGCAAATTAAAAAACCGCAAAAATTTGTTGCAGGGCTCCTTTAATATCTCTTACGACGAGAGGACACACTGGCGCCATCTGTGGGGTAGCAGTGGGAACATGGCGGTCCCACATATTTTCTATTTCTCTTGCGCATCATTCTTTCTTTCTTGGGTCGAAAAACTTTTGTCAATGTTATAAACAACCATTTCTTATAGATATTATGCACATTTGGCCTCGGATATTCCGCGAAACCTTTGCTCTAGTGAAATGCAGTTCCAAGGTCACTGCATGCCGTAGATAGCACCAGCGTGCCAGTGTGTTCTCTCATTCTAAGAAATTTTAAGATGTTTCAAGGCACTCGGTTTTAAGGAGTCGCAAGTGTATGAGTGGGCCTTAACAGTCATAAGGCAGAACTCTTAAGCAGAAACTAAAAAATCCACAGGCAAAACAAGGACTGTCGGAAGCAATACACGGTCGTTCTCACCCTTGCTACGGCACCTCTGTATAAACAAACACCTTGTGTTTCATGATTGCGCAAACACGGCCAGCGGTCTTAACTTGTGTCTCCACTTGGCTTGGCTCGGCTTGAACTGGCCAGTGTACCTCACTCTGGTGTGGCGCGTTGTGTCGGCCACATGCATTGTACAGACATGATGGTGACAGAATGTTTTCAATGTTTCCTATACACAAACTCATCTCTGTTACGTCACGGCGCGGTGGTGGCGCGTCGGTCGCACTTCCGGTCTGGGGCTGTGGGTAGAAATCCCCATGCCAGACGTGTATTCCTGCGTTGTTTTGAAAGGAACCAGACAAAAACCTGCCTTCTCGTCAAAACGCCGCGACTGGGGCCATAACAAAAGTGTCGAGAAAGGTTTGAATGTCAGTTTTCACATGCTCGGCTCGTCCGAGAATCTGGATATGTGTCGTGAAAAGGGAAAAGCAGACGCCGTCGGACTACGATTGCTTGGGCGGGAAGCACTTTGGATTGAATTCACGGATACTTGTGGTCATGAGATTTATTTGTTTTGTTCCAACATGAACGCCATAAAACCGTCAAGTTGTGCGAACCACGTGCAAACTTTGTTCAGTGCGTCTTCAATTTCAAACGGCGGCCAGATCGTTCGAACTGTCGTCTGCTCTTTCAAACGTTTCTGCTTGTCGTCTGCTCTCTTAGACGACGCCGGCCCGTAGACCAAATGTTGGCCCAGTACTTGCGGTAAGAATTAAGTGCAGGCCTCAAAAGACTAAAGTTTGAAGGTTGGTAAGCAGGCTCGATGTAAACAGTAGATACAAGGAGATGTTGATCATTGTTACCAGTGACCATCACAGAGTTGTTATGCCTACTTCACTTGGTCCGATTCGGCTTGCAATTTTCAATATCAACGTTGACCATCTCAGCTACGGTTCACGCTTTTGTGGCCCGAGCGGCGTCACGACTGAAAATTGCGAACGAAATCTCATCATACGAATTAGGCTGTAGCGTACATACTGCGGCGTCCACGCGGAATCAATCGCCACATGTCACATTATTCACGCGAAGTTTTGCGGTGTAACGAGCCTCAATAATTTCGCTGGCGCCGCTCAAGTTGTCAGACATTGCCCAGGAAGACGTAGAATCAACAATTCGATCGTGAAAAAGGGCAGGGGGACTCACACCGACGCCGACAACGTCGCATTCCAATGGTTTGTTTATGGGCGACGGCGAGCTTCTTGCCCACACCCCCACGCGCATGCGCGGCGCCGGTGGCGTCCGCTAGGGGCGCTCCGGTTTGTTTGTAAACATGAGTTGGTGTATTCCTGCCTAATAACTTACCTCCCCACACCCCCTTTTTGTTTTCTGCACTTAATCTTCTGCATTCAGTCGGAGGGATGGCTTTCTCTCTGCTCAAGTGCCTCATGGCCGAGCTCAATTCTGAATATAACGCGAGGTATGTTTCGGAGCACATAATTTTGAGAAAAAAGAAACTTGCGTAATACTCATGCAAGTACGGTACTTCAGTGTTCATCTGTAAGCTGTCAGTGGTACACCTTTCCAATCCACTCACAGACAGGCAAAGAAAAGGCATAAAGAATGTGAAGATACTTTATGCCAGACAGTGCCAATTCAAAGTGCTCCTTGTTCTTGTCTAACCCCATTCAAAGTGAAAACTACCGTGTGGTCGTTGAGCCTGTGTGAAGAAGCAGCAAGGGGGGGGGGGTATTTTTCTGATATTGTGCCGGGGGCTGCATGAAACTGCTTCGCATAAGGGCTGCACATTGCCGACCCCTACCTTAGTGTAACACACAATAGGTTTCATTTTATAAATTCTGTCGCAGTAATGTCGAAAAAGGGAAAGTCGGTCTATTTTGTCTTTTATAATAGAGATGGTCATGTTTGCTTGCGTAGGTGAGGGAGATACATGCCCGAAGGAGATCAGCTGCCTATCAGAGCCCACGACAGGCATTCTCTTCAATTGCTGTTTCTGCACCCATGTCACCAGGGATCAGCGTGGAATCCTCACTCATCTGGTTGACCACGGTGATGAACAACTCAAGTGCCAGTACTGCTTTGAGTTTTTTTCCAAGGAAGAAGATTTGAGATGCCACGCTGAGATTCACAAGCCAGAAAGAAATTTTGGCTGTCAACTAGGCCCAGCAGCATTCTGGAAAAATAGTCCATTGGTCAATCGCGTTCAAGCCCACACTGGTAAAAAACCTCCCAGATGCCAGGAATGCCTGCAAACACTTTCTCTGTGTAATTGCCTGAGGTCTCATATACAAGACCAGACGAGCAAAAAACTTTTCAAATGTGAGCTATGTCCCCAGGCCTTTAGGGAGAATGCAAAGCTGACCCGCCACATTCGGACGCACACAGGCGAGAGACCTTACAAATGCGAGCACTGTCCCCTAGCTTTTAGCGACACTCAGAAGCTGACTTGCCACATTCGAAGTCACACAGGTGAGAGGCCTTACAAATGCGAGATATGTACCCAAGCCTTTAGCCATAGAGGAAATCTGACACGGCACATTAGAACGCACACAGGCAAGAGACCTTGCAAATGCAAGCAGTGTCCCCAAGCCTTTAGTCGGAGCCTGAAGCTGACCAGCCACGTTCATACGCACACGGACGAGAGACCTTACAAATGCGAACAATGTCCACAAGCATTTAATAGGCTTGGAAACCTGATCCGTCACATTCGAAAACACACAGGCGAAAAACCTTACAAGTGTGGGCTATGTCTCCAAGCCTTTAGTGAGAATGCCAAGCTGACCCGCCACATTCGAATGCACACTGGCGAGAGACCTTACAAATGCGAGCAGTGTCCCCTAGCCTTTAGTGACAGCCAGAAGCTGACTCGCCACATTCGAACTCACACAGGTGAGAGACCTTACAAGTGTGAGCTATGTCCCCAAGCCTTCATCTCTAGAGAAGATCTTAAACTACACATTCGAACGCACACAGGCGAGAGACCTTACAAATGCAAGCAGTGTCCTCAAGCCTTTAGTCGGAGCCTGAGGCTGACCATCCACATTCGAATGCACACAGGCGAAAAACCTTACAAATGCGAGCGATGTCCGCAAGCATTTTGTGCGCGTGGGAGCCTGGTCCGCCACATTCGAAAACACACGGGTGAAAGACCTTACAAATGTGAGCTATGTCCCCAAGCCTTTAGTGAGAATTCAAAGCTGACCCGCCACATTCGAACGCACACAGGCGAGAGGCCCTACAAATGCGAGCAGTGTCCCCAAGCCTTTAGTGACAGCCAGAAGCTTACCCGCCACATTCGAAGTCACACAGGTGAGAGACCTTACAAATGTGAACTATGTCCCCAAGCCTTTAGCCGTAGAGAAAATCTGACACTGCATATTCGAACGCACACAGGCGAAGGACCTTACAAATGCAAGCAGTGTCCCCAGGCCTTTAGTGAGAAGCTGAAGCTGACCCGCCACATCCAAACGCACATGGTTAAAGATCTCACAAATGTGAGCAGTGTCTCAAAGCCTTTAGTCAAAGTGAAAAGGTGACCTGCCATTTTCGAATGCACAATACTGAAAGAGAAGTTCAAGCAATGCTTCAAGTCTCGTGCGTGCGACGCATTCAAATGCATGAGACACTAGAAATGGTATGTCCCATGACTTTTCCGGGTCAGCTGGGCCGAGCAGAATTTTTACAAGAAATTGGCCGTGGAATTTGCAAATAGCAGCAGTCCGAGTTTCGCTCCGAGTCTGGTCAGCCGTACAAACACAGACAATTGCTTGCCTTTGTTGGCAGTTTGCACAAGGCTTTCTTTACATAACATATACGATTGGGCCAATTGGTTCATCATTTGAAGTACAAAGAGCACAGACACGGACAGCCAAAGAGGACAAACGGCACTGGTGTTTGTCGCCTTTTACTCTTTTAGTGTCTTCGCACTGTTTGTGCTTTCTTTACTGTGCTGCTTCCTAGCCACTAGAAGTTGTGTGAGGAGAGGAGGTGGATTTATAGTAATGCATTACCTTTAAAGGGATACTTCAACGAAATTTGAAATATTCCCGTCGTGTTCAAAAATAGGTTGAGTATGATCCACAATATCCGTAAATGACAATCGCAGATTTGTATTTTGAGCCTGGGGGCTGTATTTTTAGTTATAATTGGCCCACTCTGGCAAGCGCTCGGAGAAGGCCTAGCGGAGACCATGTGACATCCAATGCAATCGTGACGTAGGTCGTCTCAAGACGAGCAAAGCTATGGCGAGGCTGACGTCGAGAGGATGGCCTAGTCGTTCCAGCCACCGAAGCGGCTGCTTTTGTACGAGTTTTGAGTGACGGGTTAATCTTCTGTAATCTTGTAGGGGGACAATAGCGACTTCTGCGACACACAAAAGGCATTCTCGGGAAGAGGGGAGTTCCTGCTGGCCCTCTTCTCTCGTCGTGGCCGGAGACGAGACAACCTCCGTCACTAGCTGTCAAGGTTCCTAGACGGGCATTACAAGCGAGGCGTTAGCGACATCCACCAGGTGCTCTTTGCTAATCGTTTAATTTGTTTTAAAATTTCTTTTTGTGACTTTTTTAACAAGATATTGGTATGTTCGATGTGATGCTGCTTTTTTGAACACATATAGACCAAAAAATGAGCGGCGAAATTTCGTTGTAGTATCCCTTTAATAATAATGCAAATGGAAAACAGCCTTCACTAACCGCCTCAGCCTGATACATCTCGGTGGCCCCTATCTAGAAAGGGACTAGACCTGCCTGAATACTTAGTGTTCAAAGCATTTGTGTGGGTGCCTCTTATGGAGTTGCCTCAGGAATGAAAACTGTAAAGACAATTTTATGTGACTTTGTCAGTTTCAATTATATGCAGACCTTTTGCATTGAAGAACGTACAGTCATGACTCATTAATATAAACACCTCTGTTTGCCCAAAAGTTGTCCAGAATGTGAGTTGTCCATAATAACAAGACAAAATTTTATGTATTTGCCCAGTGTGTCCTTGAAAATGGTGTCCATATTAAATTGATGCTGAAGCGGTTCTGTATTTGAGGAAGAACATGTAAAGCAGGGGTCTCAAACACGTGGCCTGTGGGCCGTATGCAGCCCGCGACTCGCTGGGACGCGGCCCACAAGAAACCGGCTACGAGTCCCAGTTCCCATGTCTCAAGTGCTAGAAATGGCATGCGCCATAGTGATCTGATCTCGTCGATTACTTTTCGCTCGCTTTTAACGGGTTCACATAGTTTATTCTTATATGCGTTCATTGGCCCTTTGTTTCGATTTATTTTTTGCTTCCCAGCTTTTTGTAATGCACAAAAATTCTGCTACTATAGTCCGTTGCAACCTAAGAACGAAGGGCGAGGGTAAGACAGGCCGGGGAGGAGAAAGCAGACGGAACACAGGAGAAGAGAGGGGGAAACCTCCTTCTCTCTTTAGCGTTCCGTCTGCTTCCTCCTCCCCGGCCCGTCTTATCCTCGCCCTTCGTTCTTAGGTTGCAACAGACTATACACTCCGTGCGACGCGACTGGCGCGCCGCCGCGCGGCCGGTAGCGAAGGTAGGCAGTGAGAACCCCGGAGAAAACGAAACCAAAACCACGTCGGCGTACGTTGGTGCGCATTGAAGTCGGAGTGGCGCGGTTGCGCTGGGTTCACAGCATGAAGTGCTGCCTGTGCTGCGTCATTAAGTGCTTCAATAGTTATGCGTCGTATCTCGTGGAGACAAAGTTTCACAGTTTTTCACCTCGCCAATGTTTTCTGGGACAGCGACAACGATGGAGCCGTGCCGTACGACGCGAGAAATTTGGTCTCCCGATCATGTCTGCCACTGTGTCATCACGGCTGACATATTCTGCACTGCCGCTTTGCGCTCTGCGTTTGTTTTCGTACCAGTAACGCCTACATGTGTAAGCGCCGATGGGACGAACTGAAATGCCATCCCACACTCGCGGGTATGAAGTGCCAATTTCGTTGGAGGAATGCCCTCCAAAGAAGTTTCGTCCCTATCGTACGTGTCATTGATATTTCCGGACAAGTATGGCGCGCAATCTGTATTTCATAAAGAAAGATTCGAACGATAAAAAAAGTGACAAATATAAATCTAAAGAAAACAACAATGAAACTCGGAATCACTGGAGAATCGACGTTTGAGTATGGAAGTTTATGTGGTGTGCTTTCTTTCTGGATCAGCCTCCTTTTGGATGTGAAAACGCTGACACCCTGAGTTCTGTAGACAACAATTTTTTTTCTCGGCTTTAAAGCCACCTATCGCAAAGTGGTTTGAACTGGAAGTACCGTCCACTGGTCCCTTTTTACCAGTAAAGTGTGCACCTCCCACGATGAGTGGTATTATCTTGACAGCCTTTGACGGTCAAAACTGGTTCCCATTTAGTTACTCCGCCCAAACTAAACTTCCACCTGGTTTCGCTATGCCAACTCTTTTTGTTATAATAAGTGTTGTGCCAAGTGACGGTCATGTTAAAGTACCTGTGCGCCGAAAATCAGCACCTCGCACAATAGGTTATTACACAACAGCTGACCGCAAAAGCCCTTGGCGGCCAAACCGTGTGTTGGCCGACAGCTTTGTTTTCTCGGCTTTGGAACTACCTTCCGTAAAGTTGTTTCAATTGGAAGTACAGTCCACCAGTCCCTTCCTACCTGTAAAGTCTCCACCTCCCACAATCAGTGGTATTCTCTTGACAGCCTATTCATGGTCAAAACCGGTTCCCATTGAGTTATGCCGCCCAAACCAAATTTTCACCTGGTTTCCCTATGCCACCTTTTTCTTTTTGCATACTAAGTGCTGTGTCATGTTACTGTCAAGCCCAAGCACCTGTGTGCCCAAATCTGCACTTTGCACAGCCCGCTATAACACAACATTTTGGGTCCAATATTGGATATCCCGTACAGCTTTATTTCTTTATTCGTTAGAAACATAACTTTCACACCTGCTGTCTCAAAGAAACTTGGCACTCTTCGTGCACAAACAAACTTAGTGAACATCTCACTCGCCTCCAAATATCATCGTTCCAGCAGTCCTAGGTTTACAGCGACGAGCGAAACAAATTTCCCACTCAGAGCAATTATGGTGGCGGCCGTCTTGTTTTTCGGAAAATTGCTCCAACTCCTTTTTCGGCCGCAACTAGAGAAATTACCCCTAATAACGACTCAAACTCAATATATAAGAAGTGGAGAACAGCTAAATGCCCTTCTGCCCCAGCACTCACGCAACGTCACCCTCAACTTATCGGCTCAAAAAGCTAAAGTTTCGTCCGCGCGCGCTTCCGCCGCCACAGTTTGGCATGCGAAAAGGCGCCGCAGGCTGCTGAACGCGCCTCACAGTCGAACGCCAGCTCCTCCGCTAGCGGCGCTGCGCGCGTTTTTCAAAGCGCCCCCTATAGTTCCGGCACGGAGTGTATAGGTTGCAAGCGCGAGCTGTTCATAGGAGGATGCATCTCTGCTGTGCGAACCTCTGGTAAGCAGGAGTAACTGCTAAAAATAAAACTACGAGCTCTAGATTCTTGCCTTCAAAAAAATATCACCATTAATTAAACAATTATTTGTTCGGAGTGTTGTAATAAAAAACGCCAGGAAAGCGAAAACTGTCAAATTAACTTATTGTTTTTTTTTAGAGACTGAGCAACGAGAACGACAGTGTGCTTGCTCTCTTGTTCTATTAAAAAGCCAACGCGTTGGCAGAGTGGTGTCATTTTAGTTATTTTTATCACATCAGGTCAGGGCCCAAAATAGTCATATAAACATATACAGTAAAACCTCGTTATAACAAAGTTGAAGGAGTGATCGTAATTATTTCGTTATAACCATTAGTTTGTTATAGCCAATGTCCATTTCTTCCCTATTAGCAAGCAAGGGGAATTATGATTGCTTTGTTATATCCATTAGTTTGTTATATCCCATTTTGTTATAACGAGGTTTTACTGTAATCTAAAGATGTCGCTGGCAAAACTGAGTTTACAGAAAAGCATAGAGCACGAGGTCTCGTCTTTTGACCCCCCCCCACCATGCGTCCCTGTCTTATATCGGCCCTCAACCTTGCCGGTATGGGCTATCTGGCCCCCACACTCAACTGAGTTTGAGACCGCTGACTTAAAGGTACACTGAAACCCCCAAAATTTGTTTTGTTTTTCTTAATGCGATTTATTATGGTGTCCAAAGATTACCCAATGAATATTTTGCTATAGAGTCGCATATATTTTTAATGAAGTAAAAAAACGCAACTGCTCGAAATTGGACTGGGGAGGAAGAAGAAATATAGAGAAGGAGAGAGTTGGTGGAAGTCACGTGGCTGTGCAACTTTTTTTTTCTTCAATCAATGTATTTGCGGCTTTTTAGAAGCCACAAAAAATTGGTATCCTATTTCATTTCTCTTTTTAATATTGAGTGCGTGCATTCTATGATTGATGAATTTGATTTATATTTGGTGGTTGTGTCTAAACCATAGAAAACGGCGTGTGACCATGAAGAAGAGAGTGAGCGCGACTTAAACTGGCCAGTTGTTGTTCGGTGGTTTTCGGGCGGAAAGAAAACGAATT